AAAATAGCAAAGTGACAAGGACGCTTCTATTGGAAGAGCGCAGAGACAGAATGTACTAAGTTGGACAGTGAGAAGGCTTTATTTAAAAGGTACACACTCAAAGGAAGGGGAGTGCTGGCAGCCTCAGAAAGGAGGCACCCTTCAGGGCTTTGTATTCTGTCTTTTAAGGCTTTCAAGAATGGGGCAAAAGGCAGCGGGGTGGGAAGGGTGCTTAGGCTTGATATGTGGTCTTGTGCTGTCTCTCTGGTGAGAGGCATGATGGCACCATCTACAGTCAGTCCCCTGATAATTCTGTAAGATAAACTTAGCACAGAGGAGTTTATTGATCTTGTTCTTCTCCAAGAGAGTGTTTACCCTCAAGCAGTGGGGACATACCAGTTAAGAATGCTTGCCCTGCCTTAAGATAAGATGTCGGCTGACTACCAAAGAATGTGGTAGGAATCTTACCTTCTAACTCCCTGGTTTTTAAAATGGACTCTTAGCTTTAACATGGAGTCCCTTTTGTTTTTGCTATACTATTTATATTTCAGCATTTCTTATCATAGGCAGGAAAAGTTAATCATGATGTTTGTCCCATGTCCCCTACTATACTTTCACTGACAAATTTGTTTGATTCAGCTGCTGTTTTCTTTTTGGGTGGGAGGGAGGCTAAAATAACTGTGGCTTAAACAAGATAGGAGTTTATTTTTCTTCATTTAAGAATCTTAAACATAAGTAGTTCAGGGCTGAATGATGCCTTCACAGTGTTGGACACCCCGGCTTCTCCTGTCTGGTTTTCCTGCCATCTGCAATACATGGTTGCCCACTCATGACAGCTGCTTCAGTTCTTTCCATCACACCTGCATTCCAGCTGGTGGGAAGGGGAGAAGTAGATGGGGAGGATATGCCTTTACCTCTTAGTGGCAGACCTGGAAGCTGCACACTGCAACTGGCTAGAACTTGGCCATGTAGTCACACCTAGCCTCAGATGAGACTGCCATCTGTCTTTAGTGAGGGTAGGTGCTCAGCTAAAACTAGGGTTCTGTTACTAAAGGAAGAAAGGGAGAATGCAGGATGGATAGCAACTTATGCCCTGAGGAGACAGCCAAGCCAGGCTTGACTTGATCAGTGGGCTCTCAAATCTGGGGCTCAGGGAGATGGGAGAAAAGGTCCAGAAATGGAAATCCATGAATAGCCAGCAACTCTACCACCATTCTGACCAGCTACAGGATGATAGTGAGCCTTGAAAATGCAAAACAGCAGGAGCACAGGAGCATGGAAAGGCTTGGAATAATAGCATCCCTCCTTCTCCATCATACCTGCTGTTGTGGGGTGAGTCATGTGTCTGTAAAGGATACACAAAAGTCCTAACCTCCAGAACCTGAGAATGTGACCTTATTTGAAGTAGGGTCTATGGGATGTAATTGAGTTAAAATGAAGTTGCGCTTAATTAGGTTGAACCCTAATCCAATAACTGGGGCCCTTATAAAAAGAGGGAAATGTGGATGCAGACACAGACGGGAAGGCGGCCAGGGGGAGCAGGAGGCAGACACGGGTGGATGCGGCTCCAAGCTAAGGAATGTGCCAACCACCAGAAACCACAAGAGGCAACAGGGGATTCCTCCCCTGGAGCCTTCAGAGAGAGCATGATCCTGCCAACACCTTAATTTTTTACTTCTAGCCTCTAGATGTGTAAGGTAACACGTTTCTCTTTATGGTCATTTGTTACAGAAGCTCCAGCCAACTAAAACACCATCTCCCTTTTCTGGTTCTCTGGGGCCCTTCCTAATGCACCCCTGCTATCATGCACCAGGAAGCCCTGCCATCTAGATGTGCCCTCTGTTCTAAACCGTCCGTCTGTTCCCAACATTGAGCTCATCATAAATGCTGCATGGGCAATGGTTGGGGGAGCCAAGCAGGACCAAAATGCCAGGCCCAGACCAGACCAGAGTCTGAACATGAAAAGAGCCAGAGGGGGGGAACGTACAGTGACGTGGATGTGACAGCAGGGAGTCCGTCTGAGGTGGGGATGAACCTGCCGAAGACTAGGCACATGTCCGCTGGGACCAAAGTCGGGTCCCAGGCCCAGGCTGTCTCTAGAAGCACACCAGGGGCAAAAGCAGGAGACCTGGGACTAGTCTGAGCTCCATCCTCTCTTGCCACCATGACACTGAAGGAGCCCTTGAATTTCCAAACCGATGTTTCTTACAGTCTCCATTTGGTTTTCAAAACCAGCCTGCATGAGCTGAGTAGAGCAATAATAGAGTCTGCATTTGATTGACAGACGGACAAAACATAGGAGATGCTCAGGCATCTGCTCAGTATCACGTAACTGCTTATTAGCACTGGGCAGAGAGAAAAGAAAACCAGCTTCAGAGTCTGGGAGACCCAGTTGGAGTCAGCGTAAGCAAGCTCTTCCATCTTTGTGAGGCTCTACTCTGCATTCGTTGTCACTACAACCTAACGTTTGCGGAGCACCTCTTATTTATTGGTGCCCAATAAATGGCCATTTCCTTCCTTCCTCCTTTTCTTGCTTGTTTTTCCAGCTCCAACTTCTGCTCTCTACACGATCAGCGTTGCTTTTCACTAACGAAAGAAATCTCGGCTACTCACAATCCACCTCTCCAGAAGTCAGTTTCTTCATCCATTTAGTCAAAGGATTGTTGTAAATCATTTCTATGGTCTCTCCCGGCTCTGACAGTCCGGGGCACTGGGAAAGCTGCGGCCCTCGGGGGCAAGCCTGCCCAACAGCCCACTGCAAAGCCCGCACTTGTTGTGCCCTACAGGACCACCAGGGGGCGCCCAGCACCATTTAAATATCCTGCGAAGCAAGTGCTGAAGCTGCGAAGCTCTGCGCGGGACTTGCAGAGCTTTAAGAGCGCCCGCCATCGCAGCCACTCTCTTTCCCCTTCTGAAGGGAGAGAGGAGAGAAAGGTTTATTCTCCGTTTACTCCGTAGGTGAGGAAACTGAGGGATGCACTTTGACTATCCTTAACCTCCTCACAGGGAGAGCTATGAAAAATTAGATGGCCTTCTGCTGCTAAGTAAACTGAGTCACCTATTGTGCCTCTATTGGCCTAAGGCAGACTATATACATGCAGGGTGTTTTGTACGACAGTGGGGAAGCGTTAGTCACGTTCCCCATGGCAAGCTCCTGTGCTGCTCCTCTGGACAGACACACAGACATACTCCATCGAGAGGTCTGAGAGGGAGCCCGGATGTTTGGTTTTAAGGAGGAAGACATAAAGGACATTATTTCCATGGCCTCCATTAGAGTCCCCAGGGCAAGAGGGGAGAAGTTGCTCCTCCTCCATAATGATGCAGGAATGAAGCCAGTGTGGAAATACAGCCCTGTGGTTGCCCGTGAGGACCACACTTACCACCGTCCCCCAGAAGAATCTGCCATGGAGAGTGCTGGGACAGTCTATTATCCACCTTCTCCTTAGCCTAATTCTGCCTGCTCCTTAGCTGTACCACCTGACGCGGAGGGGAGGTCAGCTCTAGAAGATCCACTTGCAGCTCTCCTCCAACTCAGTCCCCTCCTCGCAGTCCTTTCTGCCCACGCGCAGTCCTGCTAACAGGCCAGGCTGGGGTTTCCACACACTCTTGTTCCCGCTGGTTTGTTCGTCTTCACTTATCTAGGTTCACAGTGGCTGTTTGTCTTCCCAGTTGAAGTGCTCGGGCCTCGTGCTAGAGAAAGCAGCCTGCTCAGCATCCAAGATGCCCATCTCCCTCAGCCTGACACCTGGCCACAAGCCGCTGGAAAAGGACCAGGATGACTGGCTCTCCATCTGTCAGATGCACTGGTGACAATTTGCAGATGGAGTCTATTGCCAGCACAAGTCTAAACACTCCCAAGGCATCTGACAGCTGGCACAGGGTACATGTCAAGCAGGACTCAAGCAATATGAGCTCCTGGATAACGTTCAAGGACAATTCTACAAACCAGAGCCCCACTGTCTCCACAATCATCCTTTTCTCCTGCCTAGGACTGACTGGGCAACTTCCTTCAGTGATGCTGGAAAATAGCCAGAGGTGGGGAGAGGAGGTCCTTTTACATATCACCAGGCTATAGCAAGACTTCCCCACTGGGTACTCAAAAGTTGAATTCTTGCCAAGAAACCTCCCACACCTCAGACACTAGATATCTCATGCTCTGGCTTGAAAGGGAGAAAGTCATCTTTGGTATGCAAACAGGCTAAGAAATACAACCTGGGCTCCTAGAGAAAAGGGAGCAGGGAGAAATGGAGGAAAACAGGCCAGGTCCCCTTCACTGTGAACACCCACATGTGGAAATCCACTAAGCTTATGCTCAGGGCAGATGGAAATTTTAGAACTCTGGAGCCCCTGGACCTAGCCAATGAATACACGGAATACCATTGTCATATGGCACATTCAACCTTTGGTGATTTACTGGCCATCCTGAAAATCAGCCCAGACAATGGTCTCTGCTCATAGGGCTTAAATAAGAACTCACAAAATGGCCCAGTGATTTCCACAGAAATCTCCTTGCGGTAGGAAACTGCCTGATAAGGTTCATAAACATTGGCTTAAGGGAAAAAAATTATCAACTGGCTCAGATTTAGGACTCCAGTTTTAACTTCAAGAGGATCATAGAGACTTTGCAGCTCAGGAAAGGGTGTGGGAAGGTAGGGGTTATGGAGAAGATGGGAAACCTCAGGATATATTTATAACCGAAGATGTTTGCTCAATACAAGTCCCAATGGCCATGGGAGCTTAGGAATCCACCACTGGCTTCCAGCGTGGGGGCTGACCCACATTCTCCAGCTGCCCTGATTCTGGGCACAGCAAGCCCCGCCCTCCCATGAACACTCTGCTCAAGTTCTGTGGGGGCCACGGGTCTGCTCTTCACTTGCAAAAGGGTCAAGGGCTTGAGCTCGCTGCTCTTTAACCAAACAGATTTTCCATGTTTTGTTTCATGAGGATTTGTCTTAATTTATTGCCTCTGTCAAAAGCCAGTTCTAAGAAAGGGAGTAAACGGATTATACAAGGAAAACAAATGGAGAGAAAAGAGAACAACAGATGAACTCTGTTGCCATATTTATTAATTTGATTTTAAATGGAAAAGTAAAGATCTGTTCTAATGGCTCACCCTCCTATGAGCCCCGGAGGCCCACAGAACCCTGAAGAAGCCCCTGTGACACTGCTGTGAGGTAGATCAGAGCTGCCCGGTCTCCAAAGTGAAGGAGGCTGGTGCTTAGAGAACCCGAGGGAAGGTGCAAGGGTCAAGAACCCAAAACTTGACCTTTCCTAGCTTTCCGCTCTCAGCCTGAGTCATCAAGCCTAGAGGACACTGAATGGCTCACCAGGTCTGGGTGGCAGGGGGAATAGGCCAAGTGGAGGCTCTCTTTGTTCTAAGCACACAGCACACAAGTGACAAGGTGATCAGTGACCCCACAAAGCAAAGCCACCCCTGCTGCTCCAAGGGCAGCTGAACACAGGCAGCCAGACACTTCCGCTGTTGAGGTAGTGGTCTAGAAAACTCTCAGAAAGGTACAGAGAGGATGGTGAAACCCCATTTGGTACGGATTCCCCCTCTCCAACCCATGGCCCAGTCCTCAGGTTCTGAAGGGCAGAGTCCAGCTGGGAAACTCCACAGGGCTCGTTCTAAACACAGACCAGAGGTTTCCAAAGGTTCTGGATCAACATAGTTCTTGTTTCTTGTCCTTCAAGGCCTAAGAAAGTCTCCAGGAAGCCCTGGAAAATGGAGATAGCACATCTTGGGGTGAGAGACTAGTGGTTACCAAAGGGAAGGGGTAGGAAAGGGTGTGTGGGAGGGAAGGAGAAGGGGATTGAGGGGCATTAAGTTTGGTACACATGGTGTGGGGGTGTCACAGGGAAGACAGTGTAGCACAGAGAAGACAAGTAGTGACTCTGTGGCATCTTACTACGCTGATGGACAGTGACTGGCAATGAGGTGTGGGGGGACTCGATAATATGGGTGAATATAGTAACCACAGTGTTTTTCATGTGAGACCTTCATAAATAGAGTGTATACCAATGATACTTTAATAAAAAATAAAAAATAAACATATCTTGGGGTGAGGCGCAGAGGGTGGGGACCCGGGCTCTGGAGGGAAGGGTGGATGGAGGTGGTGGACCTGGAAAACACACTGTGCTTACACAAAAGCATCCCCACTCCACCCAGCCACCGAAACCCAGCCGCACCTCCACCTCCACCCGGCCCTGCTCCTACCAGGGAAAGAACACCCACTCACCGGCTCCTCACTCCGTGCGTCCTTCATACCTGAGTGGGGGCTCACCTTCACAGGCAAGATCAAACCTTTCAGAGACCAGCAGGGAGGCGGAGGGCTTGGGAGAGCCTCTAGTCTTCTGTACAAGTCAAAGTCAGCCCGGTGGTGGCGAGAAGTATGGCGCCAAGAACTGAGCCAGAAAACCAAATCTAGAGCTGCGCGGAGGCCTCGGGGCAGGGCGGCACTTCCCTGGGGTCAAAACAACACGCAGCCCTCGCGCTCCCACCGGAGGGCAGGGCAGGCCGGGTACGGAGGAGAAAGGCCCTGTGTTCCACCTGGGTTCCCAACGCCTTGCTCCCCCTTCTCTCAATGCAGAGACCCTCCCCGGCCCCACCTTCTCCTACCGAACCCCAGACTTAAGAAACTGACCAAGGAGATACCGATTGCTCCCTGATTCCGAGCCGCCAGCCCTTTCACCTGCGTTCTGCGTTACCTACCCCTCGAGCGGCGGGCACTGCCTGGCCTGCGCCGGGCTGGTCAAGGCCGCAGGGGGGCCCGGCCAGGCGCCCGGGAGGGAGGCGGCGGCGCGGTGCTCCTCCGTCCGGCCGCGACGCAGCAGACGGCGGAAGGCGCTGCGAAAGTCAGGACTGCGGCAGTAGATGAGCGGGTTGAAGGCGGAGTTGGCATAGCCTAACCAGTTAAGGGCAAGGAAAGCCGGGCCTGGAACCAGGGAGGGGCCCCCGAGGGCGCGCACCACGTTGGTCACAAAGAAGGGCAGCCAGCAGAGAGTGAAGGTGCCCACGATGAGTCCCAGGGTGCGCAGCGCCCGGTGCTCCCGGTGTGGCAGAAGGCGCGCCGGCCTCCGACCGTAGCAGGGCAGCCCCGCGGGCGAAGCGCACGGCCCGACCCCGGCGGGGAACCGAGGGCAGGACGCAGCCGGCGGAGGCTCCTCGGGCGGGAAGCGGCCCAGCTCGCGGCGCAGCAGGCGCAGCTGGCGCGTAGCCACCACGAAAACGCGCGCGTAGACGAAGAGCATCACCAAAAGAGGAAGGTAGAAGGAGATGGTGGAGGAGAGCAGCGCGTAGGTCAGATTGGAGGCGAAGACACAGCAGCGTGGGTTGGAGAGGCACCGCTGCGCTTCGGCGTCGGCCCCCACGCGCCACCATTTGCTCATGATGGGCGCAAACGACACCGCAGCGGACACGACCCACACCAGGACCACGGCCGTCCGGGCGCGGCGCTTGGTGACCAGTGTGCCATAGCGCAGCGGCGTGGTCACCGCCACGTAGCGGTCCACGGCCAGGGCGCACAGGGTTTCGATGCTGGCCGTCACGCAGAGCACGTCCACCGAGGTCCACAGCTCGCAACCAGTGGCGCCCAGAGGCCAGTGGCCACTCAGCGCCAAGGTGGCCCCCAGCGGCACTACCAAGAGCCCCACCACCAGGTCGGCTGTGGCCAGAGAAGTCACAAACACGTTGGTTATGGTCTGGAGTCTCGGCGTCCGGGCGATGGCCACGATGACCAGCAGGTTGCCTCCCACGGTGGCCAGCACCGCCAGCGCCAACAGCGCCCCCGCCAGTGCGGCCGCCCACGGCACCCCCGGCAGCCCGCTCGTGTTGGCGGTGTCGGGCGCCAGGGTGGAGGCGTCTGGCCACGAGGCTAGAGAGCTGTTCCCGAGAGGCCACGGAGCCATTCCTGCGTCGCGCGTGGGGCACCAAGGAAAAGGAAGGGGGCTCCCAGCTCACCCGGCTCGGGGGAGGGGACGGCGGGGCGTGGGAGCGATGCCCCGGGCCGGGGCCATCTTCCCTCATTGACCAGGCAGACCGCTCAGCCTCCTCCACCCCCTTAGTGCCAACGCTGGGGGGAAGGAGTGGCGGCCCTTAAAGGGGCAGAGGCCGATAGTCTCCGCGCTCGGCGTCGGGATGGGAATTGCAGAGGTGGGAGGGAAGCGAGAGGGGTGCCCGCTTCTCCTTTCGCCAGATCTGAAGTACGGACCCCCTGCTTTCTCTCCGCGAGGTGCCTGTTCCTGTCGTGGGCAGCCCGGCTCTCTCAGCACACAGGTGCAACGCTGGAGGGCGGGCAATGGAGACCGCTACCCGCCTGGGCGTGCCAGGGGAGGAAGCAACTAACTCCCAGCCCCCAGGCGAGCAGAGCCCCCCCGCGGTGGCCCCTCGCCTACCGGTGCACCCTCCTCTAAGAGCGGTAAGTAATAGAGGGCTGGCAGCATCTTCTCTCTTCTCCCAGACCTCATTCCAAAATATTTGTCTCCTTTCCCTCCTTCCATTCAACTTACCCTCCTGCCCCTCAAGTTCTCTGCCTTTTTTTTTTTCCTTCCAAATACTGGGGAAACCTGCCATTTTCCAGGAGTTTTAATCATTGCCTGCTCATTTGAATCTCGATGGCTTCATGCAGCTGGGGTGCTGAGGGGGGTCCATTTCTCCATCTTCCCCATCCCACTTTGTCCCTTCCTTTCCACCCAGCAAGTTCCTAGATGGTCCCCTTCTCTAAAGCTCTTCTGTGGTAAAGACATGTTAAAAATTAGTGAATGGCACTGAGGCTGAGGCTTGTCCACCATCACCAACTATCCACAGGTCTTCTGTCAGCTCCTCCTGATGGTAAAGTGTTCACTCTACCACTTTGAAGATTTAATTCATGAGCTTTTAAGAATTAGAAGATACTGAGGTGAAGCATTCACATGTTTCCTGTTCAAGTGTGTGGAAAGATACATCTAGTATTTGAATGCATCTTAAAAGCCCCCATGTGGTCCAGAGCCTCCCACCTTCCCTTTGCCCCCCCAGCCTTAAGGCCCATGCTGCTGTCCCAGTCTCTACACTAGGTTCTCTCAATCAAGTCAGGTGTAGGGGGGTGAGCCTGGAAAAGAAGTCCTTGGGTTCACATGGACAGGCAGGAAGATATGATAGCTTTATTAAAACCTATCAGAACCGGATCCTTGAGCTGTCTCGCTTCCTCCTCTGAAACAATGGGACAAAGGGGAAAAAATGAACATGGAAAATGCCTGCAGGGCCATGCCCTAGCATGTCACTTTTGAACAACTCTGTATTTCAAAAGAGCACTGTATAGTCTCTGGTCTAAGCAATCCCTGTGGGAGGCTGAGCCAGGGGTTGGGAGTTACAAAGACAGGAGGGCAAATAAGGACCTAAAATTATCCTTGAGGAAAAAGAACCAGCTTCATCTGCCAGGGACCCAGAAGCTTCCCCACAAGCTGGGTGTCAGTGGCTCCCAGCAAATGTCTTCCAGGCGCATGTACACCAAGCAGGCCTTTGGACGTGCAGAAATGCCTGGTGGGTAGAGGCAGAGAGGCCCAGCCCCTGGCCCCTGGCCCCAGCCATGCCAGAGTGGTGCAGGCCCCACTTGGCCTCCAGCCGTGTCTGTGTCGCTCCCAAACCGGGTTTTGCAACACCCTCAGATTGTAGCCAGTTATCTCAGGGGGGTGTCCTAAGATTCTCAAAGAGTAGTCTCTAAATGAATACATGTCATTTGGCAGTTTTTTTCCAGGACATCAGAGTTGGTGGGGGAAGGGAAAAGGGTGCCAGGAAGTCAAGCAACTTCAAAGGATGTCGTTGCGTTAGGGGGCGATCTTGTCATTCTGAGGAAGTGTGTGAAAATGTTTACATTTTCTCAAAGACAAGATTCCCCAAACCACATGAGTGTGCCTGAGTTTGGGGAATGGTCGTGTCAACAGCCAAAGGAGCCTGTGAGCCAAGGCGTCCCAGTCCTGGCATGAGGCCTTTTTGAGCACCTGGCTTGCTGCCTGGCCCGCTTTCCCCTGCTCCAGCACCCCCTCTCCCCCTCCCCCGGTCCAGCCTCCCCTGCCTGGCGGCTGACTGAAGGGGAAGAAGGGCTCTCTCTTTGCCACTCTGGTCTGTGGGGTTATTCTTTTTCTTCCTGCTTTTGTGTTTCTCAATTTAATCTTTTGAATAGGTAATACATTCACATATTCAAACATCAAAATATACAAAATGCTTGTAAGGGAAAGTTGCCTTTATCCTGGTTTTCCTAACAAGTAACCCCCATTAAGCTCTTGTTTATCTTTCCAGTAATGTTTTCTATATAAACAAGTCAATACAAATGCATATGCTTTTGTCCTTTCTTTTCTGCACACATAGTAAAATACACCCACCCTTGGGCACCTTGCTTATTTTAATTTAATATACATCTGTGATCCTTCCATACTAATATACAAAAGCTTCCCACTTTGAGTATTCCATTGTATGGATATACCATAATCTATGAAAACCATCAGCTACTAGTGGACATTGAATTTACTTTCAGTCTTTACTGGTCGATGACATTGCAGTGAATAACTTGTCCACATGTCATTTCACATGTGTGTAAGTACATTTGTTAGAATACATTTCTACAGATAGAATCACTATGTATCATAGGATATACACACCTGCAAATGTAAAAGATATTGCCAGGTCACTCTCTCCAGGCAGTGCACCCAGGCACACCGTAGCCATCACTTTGGATGGCCGTCTGGGAACGGGAGGCAAGTGCCCTTCTGCTCTGGAAGTTGTCCTAAGGACTGGCCCCAGGGGCTTTAGTGCTGCCTGGTCTGTGGAGGTCATCCAACTCTGGACAGAAGCACATGTTGTCCAGAGATGGCTTTACCCTGGCCCTGGGCCGTGGATGCCCTTTGTTCTGTGGCCTTGGAAGCACACAGTGAAAGTGGGTCTCCAATAGCCTTTCAGGCCCCCAGGCTGCTATTTATTTGTTGAGAGCTCTCACAATGCAAGTTACCCTGTTGTGTCAGGCAGCAGGTGTGTGATGGTCTGGCACCTAGGATATGCGGTCCGTGGAACCAGAAGAGGCAGCAGCTGTGAGACGGGCAGAAGTTCTAAGAGCAGGCGAGGACATGCCCTCCTGTGCTGACCAGGGCTTGTGGTTGATCCTATGCACATTGCAATGGGGTGCCTGTATGTGCATGTCTGTGTGTGTGCTTATGTGACAGGGTGGGATGAGCCCCGGGGGAGTTTAGGTGACTGAGCCTTGTACAGCATTCACGACCACATGTGTTAGAGGGGTTATGTTCTAGGATTCAAAATCCTCCCCTTTGCCTTAAAGTTCTTGGAAGGGAGCTAAAAAATGAAAACAAATAAAAAAGCTAGTATAACACTAAACTATGTTTTCTACCTTTATCTTGCATCTACCTACCACTTCAGCATTTTATTAAAAATAATAATAATAATAATAAAGGGAGAAATGTGGGATCCACATATAAATCAAGTATAAAAATCAAACGAATATTCATATTTGACCTGATTGTTTATAATTCATAGTACGTGATCAAAACCGAAGGTTTCTGTGATGAATGCCCGTGTACTGATCACCATGTAAGAACTTATTCACTATGTAAGAATTCGTTCACCATGTAAGAACTTGTTCATTATGCTTCAGAAGATTGGAGACTGACGAGAATTAGGCTTGAGATGGATTAATGATTGTGCATTGAGCATTGACCCCTCTATACAGAATTTTATTGTTAACAACCATTTGATCAATAAATATGAGAGATGCCCTCTCAAAAAAATAAATAAATAAAAATAAAAAAATAAAAAAGCTAGGTGGAAGTTTTCTCCCCCTCTTTCTTCTCCACAGCATTCTGTGACCATCCGTTCCATCTTTTAAATACTGTGTGTGTGTGTGTCTTCTGCATAGTGGGTTTGATATAGGCTGATTCTCCTTTTCTCACAATCAGTCCAGGGGGACAGGATAGTGGTGGTGTGGAATAAGAACTTGAAGGAGTCTTAAAAATCAAATGCAATGTCACCATTTTACAGAACTAAAAAGCTGATACTCGCAGGGGTAACTGAGGTTTGGCCATGATCACACAGTAAAGGTTCCTTCCTAACAGGCATGTGGGTGCCCAAGGAGCTGGCTCCTTTCCCGAGGCACGTCCTCTCACTCCCAGCAGGTACCACCTTCCAGTCTGCCCTCTATGGATTCCCCAAAATGTACCACCAGCACCCCCCCAGAACTGGAAAGAAGCCCCCAACAGAAGACTTTCCTTGTCTTCTCTAACATGAGATGGCCAACTGTGCACACATCTGATGTTTCCCAAGGAAAGGAGCTTGAAGGGGAGGCAGAGAAAGGGTCTCCATTCTTGGAAAAGAAAAGGTTCTCTGGTGCTTAAGGGCTAGCCTGGGACAAGAGCCTTATAGGGGCAGAGAAGGGTTTTTCTAGCAGTGACTTTTCTCTTAGTTCTGTCATCAGTGGAAGAAGGGACCAGGAAATGTTTCTTGGTGTTCAGTAAGGCATTTTCTCCCAGGGAGGAAAGGGAGAGATCAAACCAGTGGGGGAGGGAGACAGCAGGAGAGGGTGCCCAGCCACCCATCCACCCACAGATAAGTTTCTCTCATCACCCTCCAAGTCACCCCTGGGTACTGCTTTGATGGATTTCTCTGGAGCCTCTTTCTCTGCCAAGGAGAAGGAGGCAGTAGGGCGGAGGGCAGATCCACCACGCCCCTCGGATCTGTGGTCTCTTCTCCCCTCTCCCCCAGGAGGCAAATCCCAGATGAGCCTGGGTGCTGCCTGGTTCACGCTGAACATACTCCTGCCCCTGGCCTCACCTCAACCCCGCCGTCCCGGGGGCGAGCAGGTGTCAAGGAAAGGGTAGCTGGCGCTTGAGAAAAAAGAGCAAAACGAGAAGGGTGGTTTCTCCTCCAACAGAGAAACCAGTGCCCGGTATGATTAGATCCTCTCCAGTCAAGATGGAAAGAGGGGCTTTCCTGGCTGGAAAGAGGGAGGCAGCCAAGCCCCCAAAGCCCTTCTGGACAGCCACAGCACTTCAGGAAAGAAGCCCATCTCGGGGTTGCTGAGGTCCAGATGCCAGCAGAGAGGCTGCAGCAAGGGGAGAGGAGAAGTGTTTCCTGTTTTTGAAGAAGTCATGGATGGGGAAAATGCCACTTTTTATGATTATTAAAAAGAAAATGCTTTTCGTTTTAATTCCAAGAGGAGGCAAAGCATTTTGCTTCTAGTCAGGAGGCGACTGCCTTCCC